AATAATTTATAAATTATCAAGGGTTCATGAGGGAGGGGAAAAATGAAGAGCTGATACCAAGGGCTCAAGTAGAAAGCAAATGTTTTGAGAATGATGATGGAAACAAATGTACAAATGTGCTTGACACAGTGGATGTATGTATGGGTTGTGATAAGAGTTGTACGAGCCCCCAATAAAATGAATTTTTAAAAAAGCCCTGGTGGCACTGTGTGATAGGCAGCGTTAATCTGCTAATTTCAAGGTTGGTGGTTTAAACACACTAACTGCTCAATAGGAAAAAACGGAGGCTGTCTGCTCCTATAAAGAGTTACAGTCTCAGACACCATAGAGTCACTATGAGTCAGAATCAAATTGATGGTGAAGGTATAGTACTTGAGCACATGAAGATTATAAGGCTTAGAAGGATTACAGAACTTCCTAATGCTGCCTTAGTTAGGGCAAAATTTTCAAAAGTGTCCAGTCACGTTTTAATCTGTGCAAGTCAACAACCTATGTATTTTCATCTGAAAGCTGTCCTATTCGTTTTCTCAATAGCCTTTCAATTTCTATAACATTGGGTAACAATGATACTGTCAATAGAATTACCATGTGCCTCATCAGGAGGATTTATAATGTTCCCCAATAAAAAATAATGATGTCCCTAAAGTAGACCATAGCTATATGAATCAATTTTTGAGCTCACACTTAATTATAGCCCTAACCTAAGAACAATTAGTTCTTGTACTGTGGTCCTACGTAACCTCATGAAGAGATCACTGAAGTTATGGATGCTACAGAAAGGTGTCTTGAAGAAAGCAGATGGTGCCAGGCTAGCAGAAACAGCATCTGGGGCCTTATAGGCTTGTCTTAAAATAAGTAGCCTTCTGAGAGGTATCAACTAAGTGCACATAGAAGAAGCATGTCAGCTTGTGTCATCCAAGGATTGTAAATACTAGAAGCCAAGACCAGAGGAGGGGAGTGTATTTGAACTTAAATTCTGAGCACCTAGTTTGTAGTAGCCAGAAATCCATTTGCAGCGTCCCCACGTGGATTAAACCACCAGATAATCTCCTTTGACCAGGCATGTGAACAGTCTTGTTATCAGGGTGCACGGGAATATGAATTAATGTAATTAGGTTAAAATTTAACACCTTAACAATTGTTCAGGAGCCCTGACAGTGTAGTGGTTATGCATTAGCCTGCCAACTAGAAGGTCAACAGTTCAAAACCACCAGCTGCTCCATGGGGGAAAGATGGGCTTTCTACTTCTATAAAGTTAGTTTGGAAAATGAATTCTGGGCTCCCACTTAATTTTAGCCCCTATCCAAGGTGTTAGCGCTTAGAGACCTGCTTGACACTCCTCTTCATAAAGAGAACACTGAAGACAAAGGTGCTACAGCAAAGTGTGGTGAAGAGAGCAGTTGGTGCCAGCTATCAATTGGAATAGTGTCTGGGATCTTACAGGCTTGTATTCAAACAAGCAGCCATCTAAGTGAGGCTTCAACTAAGTCCATATCAAAGAAGCAAACCAGCCTTTGTAATCCAAAGATGACAAATAACAGAATCCAAATGTGATGAAGGGGAAAGTATCAGAGCTTAAATTGTGAATATACCAATTTGTGGAAGGTCAAGGAGGGCAAGTGAGAGCCCAAAATTCACCTGCAGAGTATCTAGTGAGATTAACTCGCTGGTAGATGCCCTGTGGACACAGGCAAGGGATGAGAACAGATTTACTATCAGACAGGGATTCATGTAAGCTTGATTATGGTGGATCCAACTACAGTATAATATGATTCTTGGACAGTTGACCTTCCTCTTGACCCAACCTGAATTTTCTCTAGGCTCAAATATTTCTTACTTTATCCATGACAGAAATTTCTTCTTTGGCTGTTTAAACTATTGTTGGTGGTCTTTTCTTTCTTACTCTTTACTTTTTATTTATATCTTTATATTATTTTCTTTCTATCTTTTTTGTTTCTGTTAGGTTTCCCAGTTTATGAAGTACAGAAGGAGTGGATGTATAGAGATAATAGCTGATGCAATTATTTATTGGGGGCAGGGGTTTGGGGAAGGTGAAAGGAATTCAGGAGCAATCAATGAATGCTGGAGGGAAGGGAGCACTAGAACTGATTGTGATGATGTATATACAACTCTTTTTAAAAGTGACTTAACTGTGGAAATGTCTGGTATGTGACCATTGTATCAAGAAAACTACTAACAGAGTCGGAAAGTCACGGGCTGTTCTACCCTGTCTGTCCCATAAGGGCACCAAGAATGGGCATCAACTGGCGGCAGTGAGTTTGGTTTTGGTTTATCATTTGTTCTCTCTCTTGACCGATTTTTTATTTGTTCTAGTTTAGTTTTTTGCTTTCTTTTGGATTGAAGTTTTTCTGTGTTTTGTTGTTTTGGGTGGGTGGGGCATTGTATGTTTTCGTTGTATGAAATGCAATATAGGTAAATCTATAGAAACAGCAACTGGATTAAGAGTATTTTAGGGTTATGGCAGGGACAATTATGGGCAAATGGGGAGTTAATAATAATGACTATCAGAATGAGGACATTGTTCTCAAATGATTGTGGTGATGATTGTACAACAATGGTTTAATATGTTTAATCATTGAATTATATAGTATAGGAAATATGTCAACACAACTGTCAAAATTATTAAAAAATAAAATGGTAGACTCAAGACTAAGGTCCACCTGTCTAACACCATAGTTTGGGCTCATAACTAAGTGAAAGATATGAATACTACTTTTGTTATATGCATAAAGAGTGCATACCTTTATATTTGATTACTCTTACTCATTTGCTTGCTCTTCTACTTCATGTAGCTACTTCCAGTATCAGGGTACTCCTATTATGTACTGTGTCCAAAGTTAGTATTTGATCCGACTAAGAAAAGTTCTGAAGAACTGAGATCCAGTCATAGACCTAAGGTTCCCAAGTATGACACCCTAAGAGGCAAGAGAGAGAAAAGGGTGCTTGACCTGAGATGTTGACAAGTAGGTAGGTCATCCTACCATGCAATCTTTTCTTTCAAAGTTATACATCTCTGGGAAGCACAACAGTGATTGCAGCTTCCCCCAGTTTTTCTTCTTCCAGGTTGAAGTTTGTCATTTCATCTCACTGATTGTCAGGGGCCGTCCAGGCAGTTGTGACTCACAGCAACCCCGGGTACAACAGAAGAAAGCACCATCTGGTCCGGGCGACATTTTTCAGCCTATTGTTGGAACCACTGGGTATGTTTGAGCCTATTGTTGCAACTACTGGGTCAGTCCCTCTATCAAACATGATGTCCTTCTCTAGGAACTGGTCTTGTCTGATAATGTGACCAAACTAAGTGAGATAGTTTCACCCTCTTGCTTCTAAGGAACATTCATGCTGTACTCTTTCAAAGTCAAATTGGTTCATTTTTCTTGTGGACTGTGATGTATATAGTCAATATTTTTTCACTAACATGATTCAATGGCCTCAATTATCCTTGTTCACTTCTTTAAGCATTGAATATCTCTTAACTTCTATTCAACTGGAGCCTGGCACATCTGAATCTGGCATCAAATTATCTAAAAGGTGATGGAACAAAGCTGTTGTGTGATGCTTTTTGGCATCCAAATTGCAGTCTTTAGGATTTAGAATAGTTTTTTTTGCTTGTTTGCTTGTTTTACTTTGCTTTTGTTTAGTTTCAACTATAGGGGCATGAGAAATATACACAGGAAGTCGGATAGTTAAGTATCTGTTGGGGTGGGGGAGAGGGAGACTAGATTTTCAGACTCCTTCTGCCTAAAGCAAGCTGGAGAAGTCTGCTTATCAGATTTAAAACAATTAACATACAGTCAAAAACAAAAATAATTAAATCATTGATTAAATTTTCTCAGGTAAATAACCCCACAAAAGGAACTGGAATAAATATATTTTTACATAAAGATTTTGTCTTTTGAGTACATAACAATTTGAGAGTTTCCTGAAAAGCTTTATTTCAAACATATACATCACTTCTCAGCCATTTGGCTTAGATCAAGTGTAGTATTTCAAACACACATTTAATGGAAGCTTAGAAGTCTGTGCGTGCCTTGAGAAAGCTTATATCCATTGGTAGAAATATGTTCATATCTTGATTGAGAAGATTGGTTCTCAAGAGAAAGTATTTATACCTTTGGCTCCTTTTGCTCATAAAGATATCCCACTTGCTAGTAATGTTAGATCTTGGCATTTGTTATGGATCGAACTGTCTCCTCACCAGATAAGAGTATGAGTTGTGTGTTATAAAACCTAACCTTCTAGGTCTGTGGTTATAAGCCCAGTTTAGAATGGGTTGTCTTTGTTATTTGATATGTTAATGATGGATTATTAGTGTAGGTTGTATCTTGAATCAATCTCTTTGGAGATATAAAAGAGATTCAGCAAGTACCGTATATACTCGAGTATAAGCCGACCTGAATTTTAGCCAAGGCACCTAATTTTACCACAAAAACTGTATTAAAAATGTGCTGAGAAACTCTGCTTATACACGAGTATATATGGTTAAGTAGATCTAGGATGTTTTACAGAGTTGACAGAAAAAGAAAGCCTTCCTCTAGAGCTGGTGCCTGGATTTGGACTTCATGCCTCCTAAATTATAATAATTATTGAGTGCTTATAAATATTAAGGAAATATTAATAAATATGATAATTATTGGATTATGGTGCTGGCAAAAATACTGAAGGTGCCATGGACTGTCTGAAAACAAATCTGTTTTGGAAGAAGCACAGCTGGAATGCTCCTAGAAGGCAAGACTTCATCTCATTTATTTTGCCACATTATCAGAAAGGACCAGTCCCTGGAAGACATCATGTTTGGATTGACACAGTGGCCGTAACAATTGTGAGGATGGCTCAGGGCTGCGTAGTGTTCCCTTCTGTTGTACATAGGGTTTGTGGGGGAAAGGCCTTCCCCCCACAACTAATCACGGGTTTGATAGGCACAATTGTGTGGTTAAAAATATATATATAAGAAAGTCATAGAGAGCATGAGAGATAGAAGAGAGGTTGAAATAATGGAGACACTTTTCATGGTAGCTTGCTCACCTCAGCCCCACTTGGTGGTCCACATGGAGATGGGAGACCAGAGGGCAGGAGAGAGGGGGAGGGGGAAAAGGACAAAGGGAAAGGGAACAGGGGAGCAAGGATGGGAGGAGAAGAAGGGAGAGCCGGAGAGGCCAAGGGGCATCTTTATTGCTAACCAAGGCTTATATATCTTTGGGGGGCGTGCAAGCCCACTAATTACAGGTAAAGACATACGTCACAGGAAGGGGTTGTACTATAGTCTATACAGCAATGAGGGGGACAATGTAGGGATATACATGCAATAGGAAGGAGGGATTGGGGGTATACATGTGATAAGATGGGCGGATCCTAGATTCAGGATGGCAGCCTAACTTTGGATGTCACTGAGCAGGTTGACCTGTTCTCTGGATGTCCATAGAAACCATTAACAGTAGGGTGTAAACCCCACCTACAGGAACCAAACTGATGACTGCAAGTCTTTAGGGAGAAATAGCCCATTGTCCTTAACAGCAGGGAGTGGGTGCTACCTGTAGTGGGACCAGACAGTAGTCTGGCAGCTGACTACCTTCAGGGAGGTAACTTGACAATCATTTACCATTAGCTGCAAGCAGTGTCCTAAGTCTAACATATATTTGGGAAAGATGACTTGGGAGAAATCTGTTTCCCACAATTCCCCCTTTTGTTTTATATATAAAATTTAAAAGAGTCATGGGGGCGAAGTGGTTATTTTCTATACATTGAAAGCTGACAAAGTAAAACTTCATGATCCAATTAATATAACCAAAATTTCAGGCTTACAGCAAACATTTTGAATCCAGGCACGGGGGATAAAGTCCCCCTATGTCCATCTGCTATAGGAGGAAGGTACGAGAGTGATTGGATGTCGCAGTGGGAGAAAATGGAGCCAATAGGACTGTCTGCATCTATAGGGAGTTAGAATCAACCATTTTCTCACTTCAAGGCAGCACAACTTAAGGGGAAAAACTGGAGATGATATACTCTACTGCAGGAAAATGTACTCGGAATATATCTCCAACTACCAGAGTGGTTGCCTTCCTACCATGGAACACTGGCTTTCCAGATTCCCTCCGTACCAGTCAGGGAATAAGTCGAAATTCTATTTCCCTTACTGTTAGTTTCCCACAAGGGTTCCTAGGAATCAGAACTGATTTGATGGCCCTTACCAGCAACATTAACAGAAAATAAATTTGTTAAAGCTATCCACCCATGTGTGGTATTCATTTATAGCAGTGCTGGACAACTAAGACAGAATTCCACATACAGATTGTAGATAGAGACAAATGAGAAAACAGGTTCAAATACCTGGAGCGATCTCCTAGAAGGAAACTAATTGAGCCTCAACTGAAAGACTCCCTTTTCTCTCTCTTGCAGATTGGCGGACTGTTCTCTCACCAGTGCATGTTGTCCAGATCTGGCTTCTGTTCTTTCTAACAACTCAAATTTGAGCCTCCTAGATCTTGGGAAAAATGACTTACAGGACAATGGAGTGAAGATTCTGTGTGAGGCTTTGAAACATCCAGGCTGCCACATTCAGAGCCTTGGGTGAGTTCAGGTTTTCCATCAGGAAAATGATACCTAAATGCTATCACGTATAATTGAAAGTTTAACAGATAGGAAGAGGATAAAAAGTAACTGGGGCTGAAAGGTAAATTATTCTCAGAATTAAGAATATGAATTCTATATATCTAAATTAATGTACTGCATGTTCTTTAGTATAGAAGCGATTTTTCACATTTTTGTGCCTCCCCCACTTTGTGCCTGGGGCAGTGTACATATTAAATAAATAGTATGCTCTTTAGACCCTCCATGTTCAATCATTATTCAGATATTCCATCTTTATTGAATTAATTTTGCTTATTAAATTACCTTGCATTTGGAAAATGCTCTCTCTTCTCTCAAAAAGCATTCAAGGTAATAAGATGTCATTCTATGTTTTGGATAGAACCCTTTATGTTCAGTTCAATATAGTTTAGATTTTCAACCTCTTTTTCTTTATTTTGAACTTATAACAATTGATACACTTCCACTTGTATAACATGAATTATTGACTTCTGGATAAAGAATCCTGCTCTACATGTGTGGGAATCCCAGGTACAGGTATGTTTCATCATTAATAATTTAAGAGTTAAGATAAACATTTTCCAATTCTTACAGGAAAGTGTTGCTTGTCTATGTTCTGTTTATATGTTTTTACCATGACAGTAATGGTGGTGTAACAATTAAGTCAGATAATTGATTTTTTGTTTTTATTGGGGCTGGCAGAGGACAAAGGGTTCTATTGCTCACATAAGTAAGTAGCATGCACATAAATGTGCTTGTGGTAGCTGCCCAAGTCTCAAAAGGGTGATGCAGAAGGCTCATATGAATGCTTTAATGTGCACCATAGGACAGGAGCACTGAATTTGAGGGAACTACCATTTTATAGTGGGCACTAAGTAAGCCTTCTTGAGAAAGACCCAAGTAAAGAGTAGACAGGGTCTTGCGTTCTTGTATGTGAAACATTGTGGAGTGAAGAATCCATCCAGGGGTCTCTCCAACAGTATCTACCCCTTAGTTCCTTGGCTTCTAATGGGCTTTCACAAGAATATTTTATTCCACTGGCCACTCTGATCAACCTGACCAAAAAGAAAAATGATGAGACTACATCTGCTCAATTTTTTCTCATGAGAATTTTGGCTTTTTTTCTCCTTTCCATTTCTAAATCAACTTTGATATTAGTTATCAAGTTACAAACAAGCACACACACACAAAAAAATCTACCCCACTGTTTTGTGTGCACTAACAGCAAACATCTGGCAGTAAAAAATGCCCAAGGACAAGGTGAGAGTAACACTGGCTTTGATGGTTATGATTATGTGTCAGCTTGGCTGGGCCATGATTGTCAGTGGCTTGGCAATTAAGTGATGACATAATTTGGAATTTATGTAATGATATAATTTATAATACATGTAAATAATAATTATTTAATTTCGTATGTAAGGATGTAGTCATCCTCTATTTTGCAAAATTGCAATTTCTCATAATGGCTGGTCGCTGAAACCTAATCAGTCACTAAGTGAGGAAAAGGTGTAGAGAAACAGTGTTATGTGTGCTGATTTTTTATCTAGGTGTCTTGCCAGGTTATCTTATTGATTCTAATTTTATTTATGATTCTTGTGGATTTTTCTAGATATTTATTTTTATTTGGTGAACAGTTGTTCACCACTATCCTTTTCCTATCCTTATATATATTATATTTTTCTAGATAAACATATTATTTGGGAATTACTCTCCCCTCTTCCTATTCTTAGTATGCTTGTTGCTGTTGTCCTATTAACTGCTAAAATACATGGTATAATTGATATGTGTGTAAAATTGTAGGAGTGCTAATCATACCAGTACCTTTTGAACTCCTGGGGACAAAAATGACCAGGATCAGCTCAAAGCTGATTACCCTGAGGTCGAGGGCAGCTATACATCTAGGCTTCTTTCTTTTTCTAGTTGTTCCTTCCTTGGCACTCTATACTTCTCTTCTCAGTTTGATTATCTGTTGTAATGGCCACATAGAACTCACAGGCCATACTTACAATTCAGTGACCATTATGGAACCAGGAAAAACTTGGGATCAGAATCAATAGCTATAACTCAGAAATCAGGATTCGGGACCATGTAGACAACATTCATTTTTTCCCATGGGCAGCTCTTTCTGCTCCTGTTGGTTGTACATGCTCCATCATGGCTCTCCAAGGCCAAGCTCCTCTCAGCCCCTCAGGATAAGCTCCTCCTAGCCCTACTGTCTATAGCTGTGGGCTCTGCCAATTGCTGTCTTCAGTAATATAGCCCTTGACCTGTTATAGTTCTTTTAGGAGGTTTCTTGTTTACTGTTTCTTTCTCCCTCTCTGAAAAACTGGGACTGGCTGCGTAAATACACAAACTCCTTGTCAATTTCAAGGCCTAGAATTCCCGTTAGAGTTAGACCCATGAACTGACTAATCCTCTGTAGGCAACAGTCACTTCATTTGCATAACAGGTTACAGCTCACCTCATTTGCACAATCTATCTCACCAATCCCCAGTGTAGTGCATTATGCTTTGGGCTGCTAACCACAAGGTCAGCAGTTCCAACCCACCAGCCACTCTGCAGGAGAAAGATGAGGTTAATTCTTCTTATGAAGATAAAAAGTTTTAGAAACTCTAGGGAGAAGTTCTACTATGCCCTATAATGTAATTATGAGCCAGAAATTACTCAAGGGCAGTTATTTTTGGCAAAAAGAGCAGGCTATAGTTCTGAACCAGACAAAAGGTATCAAAAGAAGTTGTTTACAACTTTCCCAGAAAATATCAGTCAACCTGGACAAAAGTAACAAGTGCTTTGGGGTAGAAAACGAGGGGACAACAGAAAAGGGGGTGAGGGGAGACGTCGGACAGGGCAAGATATGACAAAATAACAATTTATAAACTATCAAGAGCTCATAAGGGAGTGGGGAGGGGGGAGCGGGGAGGGAAGGGAAAAATGAGGACCTAATGTTGGGGGTTTAAGTGGACAGAAAATGTTTTGAGAATGAAGTACAAATGCACTTTACACAATTGATATGTGTATGGATTGTGATAAGAGTTGTATGAGCCCCTAATAAAATGTTTAAAAAAGAAAACAAGGGGAAACAACACCTCTCAAGCTATTTCTTCAATGAACCAAGGCAAAAAACGACATAAAGGAATATTAGAGTGGTTTCATTGTGTTATTTCCAATTTTGAATGCCAAATCAAATTCTACCAGATTATCCACTTAAAGCATTTCCCTTCTATTCGTAACTATCTAAGATACTTTTTTTCTATTTTAAAATCAAGAATGTCCCAGCTTATCAATCACCAAGCATTGGAATTACATTGATTTGTGTATTATCAACTTTAAGGAGCCCTGGGAACACAGTGGGTCACTAACTTGGAAGGTCATAAAAACCTACCAGCTGTTCCACGGGAGAAATATGAGGCTTTCTGTTCCTGTACAATTTTACATTAGAAACTCAAAAGGGCGCAGCTCAACTCTACGCTATAGTCAATTCTGCTATAAGTCAGACTTATAGCAGAATTGACTTGACAATGATAGCAACTTTGAATTTTGGTTCTAAAACAAAACTTGATCATGCTTTCTTCTGCATAGATTGTTTGATTCATTTTGCTAATATACTAAAATTTTAGAATATTTCTTCATAATTAACATTAGATTTTCCTTCTTGTGTTGACTCCAAGCTTTAGCATCAAGATTACAATTCTTAAAAACTAGTTCAAGATTCTACCTTTTTATTTTCTAGAAGAATTTTGTATAATAATGAAATAATTTCTTCTTTGATCTTTGTAGAAATTCCTGGGGCAATCATCTAATTTCACTGCTCTCAGTTTCCAGTGTGTGGTTTTAATTTTTTAAATGTTAGGCTCAATTTAAAATAAAGTTATATATTTATTCAGGCTTTTCTTTGCCTTATTAAGCTATTTTGGGTAATACTCTTGGATATTTCACATTTTTTTCTAAATTTTTAATGCCAAGTATCATTTTTACTAACTTCTTAAGGATCTGTAGTTGTCTTCTTTCTCATTTCTTGATATTTAAATTTTATGCTTTTTCTCATTTATATTTTAAAAGAATATAACACTTATCCTTTATTGTATATGTCTATTCCACTAATATGTCTTATACTTGAGTCTGGCACCTTAGACCACTTGGCCATCCTGACACGTATATGTCTTATACTTATGTCTACTTTTATTGAGGTTACCTTACCATTATTTTTATAGAATTGTGTGATATGGATACTTAGTTCATATGTTGTTTTCCAACAAAAGTTTGTAAGGCTATTACTTTCCTTCTAATGACAGTACTACCTTCATCTTATAAGTTTTGTTTCGATGTGTGTTGTTAAGTTTTAATCCAAAATATTTTAGACTTATCACTTTCTTTGATGCATGTCATTTTAGGGATTACAAAAAAACATGTTTCTTAATTTTTTAATGAGAGTATTCTTATCTTTTTTAAATGATCCTTATTATAGACCAAGAACATACGCTGTTTATTATTTCAGTACTTAAAAATCTTCTGAAATTTGTTTCATGGCCCAGGATATGGTCAGTGTTTATATATGTTCCATGTCTACTTCAGAAGAATTTGAAAGTTGTTGCTGTATTACATAGTTCATTACATGATTATTGCTACTTTTGTTCATACATTCACATTTTTCACTTTTTTTGCCATAAGATTATTCAATTACTGTGGATGGTACATAAAATCATGATAATGATTTTATATTTGTATTTCCCTTTGTAGTTGCTAGTTTTTGTTTTATATATTTGAGACTGTTGTTACAAAAAAATTCCAACAACCTAACCCACTGCTATCAAGTTGATTTAACTCATAGAAATCCAACATCGGGTTTCTGAGGCTGTAAATCTTTACAGGAACTGATAGCCTCCACTTTCCCCTGTGGAGCAGCTGGTAGGTTTAAACTGCTGACCTTGTGGTTAAACATTCCAATGATTACCTGACTGCAACATCACTGTTATTAATGACTACAAATTAATGACTATATGTCATGATGATTCTTAATGTCTTATAATTCTTTTGCTTTAAGAGTTCATTAGTGTATTTTTATGCCTTGTGTCAAATTTTAGTGGAGTGGCATAAGGACACGTTACCACCTCTAATTTCATGAGAGAAGGAGGACCCAGACCAATAGTCCAAGGCTGATTCTTACACGGCAGAGATCAGACATGCCTCTAGTCTTCAACCCTTTACCAATTTTGACACCAACAATCCCTCCAATGGCAAGTTTTCCTTTTCTTCTGGGTTTAACAATGCATTGCAGTTGCCACACAGTACTCACAGACAAAACTCATGACTCTGGTGTTTATTAAGGAAGCAGCATGTTACAGTTCAGAATCCCAAACAACTCAAGATACGATTCTTTAAGACTACTTAGCAGCAGGACCCACGGGAATACCTCTCTCTGGCCTTTGCATGCTCCCCCACTCAGGAAAGTGTTACAGCTCTTTTTAGCTCTGCTGATAAGTGCCCAGAGATATCCCACTCCGCCAGTAGGCTTTGACTCAAAAGCACTCAGCTCTAGCTCTGTGGGGCAGCAAACATAACTCTACCAGGTGCTGAGAGGCCACCCACATTGCCAGCAAGCTTCCTTCATGGAGATCATCAGCTTTCTCACTTGGTTAAGCCCAGAAACCCACAGTGATCACTCCTGCAGGTCTCCTGGGTCTGCTGCCACCATTTCTCTGCCATTGCTTTTTGCCATCTCTCACCATCTTAGCAAGGTGCTATGGTTCATTCTCTGCCTTCTAGGTCAAGAAGTTTCTCAGTGTAGGAATCCCAGGTCCAAAGGCTTGGTGGTTTGAGACACCTGCCCCACTGCTACCCACACACCTCTTTCCCTCTTCCTACATCTAAGATAGCTCATGTTAAGCCTAACGAGCTGGCAAAACTGACTAATCCCCTCATTACAAATCAATACCCTCTTATGTTACCTAGGGTTCTATATACCTAATTTGCATTAGCCTGCCCTCACAAAGATGCCATGGACTTTATTTACATTCTTATCAAGCTATACAATCCCTTTGGTGGGCCAGAAGAACCTCATTTGCATAGTCTCACCCATTCACTTAGGGAGAGTTACAAGAGTTACAAAGATAGTTTTATATATAACTATATAGAAATATAATTTTTCATAGAACTATATAAAATATAGAACTCATTATATCACAATGTGAGTTCCAACTACTAGCAACCTAACTGTATATGCATCATCTATAAAGGCACTAAGTTGTTCAAAGACTAGGTGAATAAATTAGGGTGAAAATTGAGTTTAATATACTTCTCATTTCATAGAATCATGGTATCAGTTGTACAAGGGCTCACAATAGACTGACTACTACAAGGTTAATTTTGTCTCCATTTAACTCGTCTCCTTCCCACCTAAAAGGAGCCCTGGTGGTGTGGTAGTTATGTGTTGGGCTGATTATTTCAAGGTCAGCAGTTTGAAACCACCACCCAATCCTTGGGAGAAAGATGGGGCTTTCTACTCCTGTGAAGAGTTACAATCTCAGAAACTCACAGGGGCAGTTTAACCTGTTGAGTCAGTACTACTTAGCATCAACTCAATTTTTTCTTGGTTCTCACCTATATATAATTAATGTATTTGAATTATACCATAGAATTATGAATATTCTTTTTTTATTTAATCATTTTATTAGGGGCTCATACAACTCTTATCACAATCCATACACACATCAATTGTGTAAAGCGCATTTGTACATTCATTGCCCTCA